AAGAAAATGATCATCACTGTAAAAAATTTATCCTTTCAGTTGTTATGAAAAAGCACATGACTACACTCTACCCTTAAAATTGCACCATCAAAACAATATTATTTTTTTTAATACATACATTATTTTACTCTCCAGTTCTTGAATAATGGCATCACTTTTTGATTCGAACCTTTTTGGAGCTCTACATCACCCAGGTAAGCTTCTATCCAGACTTTCATAATTAATTTCAAGCAGAAAGAAAAACTTAAGTCTCTTTTTCATAGACTACTGGAATTGCAACCCAAATTCATGGGGGAGTTTGAGTGATTGGGATATATACTATATCAATCATACATCTGGTAGCACAAAAATGAAAGCACATTGGTCACTTGGATTGGAACTTAAAGTTCTTCTAAAAAGGCTTTCAAAAACAAGCCATGGTTATTATAAGGTAATTGAATTACAAAAGTTATTGAAGGTCAGTATTTTTGTTCTAAATTGAAAGGTTTTTCTTCAGCCATTATTTTAGGGACACCAACATCATGCATGCCCTGCAATTGTTAATTGAGTGACTTTGTCACAGAGGGCAAAATGTTTCTTTGCTTGAAGTGGGCAGAAGCAAAATGTTCTTTGCTTTATAGGGCCCTCAGGCCCAATATGCTTGGTGGTTCCATTGATATTCACCTACAATCGCACCCTGCAAATTGCTAATTGAGCGACATTGTCGCAGAGGGCAAAATGTTTCTTTGCTTGAAGTTACAATTTGGGATTTTCAGATCTGGTTGTAACATGCATGGTTAGGCAAGCTACCAAACGCGATCATCTAATACAACAATTATTTGCACATACTCTCAAATAACCATTATATTTTTTTTGAAGGATTGTCATAACAATCCAGTGAATATTGAATTGTGGCAAGAACACTCTACAAAATTAGGAAGGCTAGCTGTTGAAAATCGAATAAACAATGTATGTAATGTTTTTGACTTTATTACAGTATTACCATGGAAGACTCTGAATGTAACCTTTTCTTTAAATGGCTGCCATTAGCATGAGATCCTAACTGTTGGAATACATGCTGCAACTATTGCAGTGGCAACTGAGTTTCCCAAAGAAAAAACCAAGGAAGAAAAAATACAAGAGAAGTTCTGGACAGTAGACGATTTTGATGATAACAAGGAGAATGGCTATGAGCCAGGTGACATTGATATTGAAAGCTGGTATGAACTTGACAAACATCAGGACAAAGATGTTGATGTTAATCAGGAAATTATGAGAAAAGACCAAGCTGGCAAAGTAAATGATGATACTGATGAAAAGATTGTCACTACATCAAACACATCCTTATGTAATCCAACTGATGATGATGAATTCACTATGCAAGACAAGGAATTGTTTATGCAACGGTAAGAACCTTTTTTTGCTCTTATGCAAGTATTGACTATGTAGATATCACTTAACTGTCACCTAATATATAGATTTGAGACCATGAAAAATGAGAAAAAATGGAAGCTCAAGACAGGGATATATGTGGAAGATATCTTGTATGATTTGGGAAAGAAATCTAAATTTCACAAGTGAGAGAGAGCCATGTTACATATAATGGTACTTTTATTATGCATAATTGCTTACTGACCTAAATTTCATTCATATTCTAGCCTCATCCATTCCTTTATTGTTGATCCTGAGGACAAATTTCTGCAATCAGGATTTACCACTGATGAACTTACAGAGATCTGTGAAACAATGACCATGCAAGAAGCACCTCAAATAAAAGATGAACTATTGGAATATATTGATACCTTTGCAAAGGTAAATTGTCAGGGTGTTGCCATTTCAAACCTCTATAATTTTATAACAGAAGTTAATTCTCTGTATATAGACCTCCACGAAAGACATACGTGAAGCACTATATGCTTCTCACCCCAGACTTTGTCGTGATTATAATCCTCTCGTCGATTTCGCTTATGAACATGTGAGGACAACAGTTACTGATTGGTAAGTGACAAGAAAAGTTCTCGTAGCTCATATGTAATGTTAATAAATGAATATTATGTAGGGTCCGTTTGTTAGAAATGCACCCAAACCCGCTTACACAACAAGATTTACCAGAAAGTTGGTTTCGGATTAATGTCTGGAGAACCGTCGACATTGCTTTCTCAGATACGCCTTTTGTATTTTTCGTTGGGTGAGTAAAAGAGTAACTATACATGATCGCCATCCATTATTTTATAATTAATTTTACTTTTCCTGAAAAAATGACAGAGGAGAAAAAGCAGGATTGGCAAGCACAGAAAGGAAAAACCGTGGTAGAACTTTGAATAATATACATCAAATGCAACGAAAGAAGATTGGAAAGAAAGGCGATGGTTACGTACGAACATTTGGCTCGAGGCCAATCGAATGGGCGGCATCTGAGGCTGGGTCTAAATGGGAGGGTGAGCAAGGCACAAAACTCATAAAGGAACGTGGTTTGAGTTTGCCAAAAACTTTGAAAGACATCTTTATATCTCTTGCACGTAAGGTTAACTTTTCTGAAGAGAAGATACGCAAGATTAATGTTCCAGGATTTGTTCATTCAGGTTTGCATTGTATAAATTGTACTTTCTGAATAAGACTTGATCGAAATTCTAACATTCAGGATTTTCGAAGGTGCCGTCTTAATTAAGACAAACCTCGATTGTCCAAAGGGGTATGCATGCCGATATATGAGGGAAGAACCACGTGAGATATATGCAGATATCACACAATTTAGTAATACGTTGGATGCTCTAGTCACCATCATTTACGCCAAGGTAAAAAAGTCTCATATACTTGTTTTTACTTTTTAAATTTCACAAGTTGATTTTATTCTTCTCTTGTAGCTCGAAATTTTGCAAACAATGAGGATTGTTAATGACACGAAGATTAATGACAATCTGAGCAGGTGGAAGAATCCACAAAAAGTTCAAAAAACCGATATTCCCGATTGTCATCACACACCCAAAAAAAGAAAACACAAAAATATAAGTTTTTGATTATACTCAATGATTTCAGACAGCTTTATTGTATGTGATATTGGTGTGCCAAGTCAAAAAAATAAAGATATATTTCTTGGAATAATGATATGTAAATCAAAACTTTTATTAGAACAATCCAATTTCCTTCAAGAGTTTCTGGATCTCCTCTATGAAGGAATTTATTATACTTTGATAGCCAAGATATATCAAGTTCTGATCTTTTGGGTTAAAGATGGAAACTTGTATGAAATTCTAAAATTTCATGCGTTTTATGCAATGCTTTTTTTTTTTTTCCAGAACATTGTATACATATTTAAAAAAGGTGTCTAAATTTCAGTATATTGCCTTCATTATCACTACAACTGCTTTCTTTGCTATTTTCTATCCTAATGCTTTCATCATCAATATCCTTACATCATGACTACCATCATTTTCATCATTTTCGTTTCCATTATTTCTATCAATGGCTGTATCATCTTTTTTTAACGACGTGACATAAAAAATCATATTAGTATATAGATTAATAAAACCAATTAATTTAAGAGATTTGAGAAACTCTAAATTATTAACCTCCTGTTTTTTGTTTTTTTTAAATAATAGAAATAAATAAATAAAACGAAAACTGTTTTAGTTTCCACCATGCTAAATAATATATAGTAAGAAAAAAAATCTTAATAAAATAAATCAACCTAAGAGATTTGAGAAAACTTCTTATCTTCTAATGAATTCAAAAAAAAAATCTTTGTTCTCATTAACAATCAAATTCATGAATCGAAAGTAAAAAAATTTGACTAATCGCGAAAGGATAAAGATAGATAAATAAGTCTGCTACCTTAACTTTTTCTTTTATTTTTACTATTTTCACCGATTAAATTTGGGAGAGCGTATTTTTAATTGGTGATAACAATTATTTTTGTTTTGTGTGGATCAGAATGAATAGGTTATTAACGAATTAATTTTGTTATTAGCGAATAATTTTGGGTAAAGAAGATAATACACATACAAACTCGATAAGTCGGCCGCATAATTTATATTATCGAGTACTTTAAACAATTGATTACTGCGGGCCGACTTATCGAGTTTGTATGTGTAGTACGGTGCAGATCATCTATAATCATTAATTGCTTATAGTAACAATTGGTCAACTTCAAAATACTAAAACAAAAA